CACAAACTTTTTCCTCTTCAAGACCCATAGACATTGTGCATAATCATCATGCCAACTTCTTCTTCTTGATTTTTAATCTGTATGCATTTTTTCCTCATCTTGGTATTTATATGTTTTTGCAAAGATATGTCTAGATGTTAGTGTCTTTTCCTTGATGAAAAACAAATTAATGAGCCCTTTTCTTGTGCATGTGTAGCTCTGTCTTAGCTCAGGTATCCTATCATTGGTGATTTCTATTCCACTTGGCCTCCACTGTAGTCCTCTTCCAGTTATATGGCACCTCATCACTTTTCCCCTACACCTTATCATTTTCTCTTTCATAGTTTCCATGTCTCTGTCCTTCTCCTCTATATTTTAGGAGAACTCCCCCAATTCATTCTCCATGTTCTGAGTCAGTGTTCTGCAGTACCATTTTTCTTTTCTGCTTCCAGAGTGGATTTTAATTGTGCTGGCTTTTAAGGTTTTTGTGGGGTTTTTTTAGTTCTTTCATCCCCACCTATGCCACTCTTCATGTGTCATCATATGGCCTTTTCAGATTTGTGTAGTCTTCCCTTATGGCTTTCTTCTATTTTATAGAGGATGTGTCTTTTTAGAATTCTTTTAGTCTGCCATACTCATTTGGTTACATATTTCCTATGACTGTTTTCCAGCGATGGCGACAGAATTTGAGGAGTTGTGATTGAGACCGTATGGCCTACAAAGCCTAAAATATTTATACTTTTGGCACTTTGCAACAAGAACAACAAAAAATCCACAGATCCCTGTACTAGCGTGACAGCTGGATTCCTGTTTCCCTCCAAGTGGGATGGCAGGGGACTGAATGCAGCTCCATCTCCCGTTCCTCATCCCGGCCAGCCTTCCCTCTCCGTTCACTCCTGCTCTGTGCCGCTGGCATTCTCCTGTCTCCTCACTGATGCCGACTCTCTCATTCTCTCATCGATAACTTGAATAAAGATGCAGGTTCAGGTACCTCCTGCAAACACTGTCCTTCCAGTCCCTACCATCCCTTAAGCTCTCCCTTGTCACCAGGCCCCGCCCACTTCCTGCCCATTTGTTTTCTGGTTGTTGTTTCTCTGTCATTCTCCCCCCCCCCCCCCCCCACCTTACCCCTGCCACCTTTTTTTTTTTTTCCTTTCTTTCTTTTTTTAGGATCTTTCTGTTCACCAGACAAAGAACTGTGTCCGGAGGTAAAACCTGGGCAGGCTTAGCGTGTTCCCCCACCACCTGCCTTTAATTCACAGAGATTGCTCCCAGATCCCAGCCTTGGGTCATCCTCTATTGGTTTCGTTTCTGGCACCGGTGTGAACTTTCACTTTTCCTCATTGTCTTTATAGCTGTTTTGGAAAGAAACAGGGAGGGGCCACGTGGGTGACAGCCAAGGCAATGCCGTTTGAGGGAGTCGGAGCTGCGTCTGCAGGCCGGGCTGTCCGTCTCGAGCAGCTTCCCCGGCTCAGTGTGCATTTGGTGGAAGAGGAAAAGGCAGGAGCGTGTTCCTTGCCCAGGGACCGCGTGTGTCCGTGTCCCGGAGGGTAGTCACGTCACCCGCCGGAGAGCAGGCGTCTCGCACTCCAGCCCCGGTGCCCGTGCTTCACCTACAACCCTATGAGCTGGGTGACTTCGGTTTCCTTAGCTCACACTTAGACTGGAAGCCGAGAATATGAAGAGTCGGGGCCATTTTACAGCCAGAAGCACACCGGCCTGGCAAGTTTCCGGCCAACTGGAAGGAAAGACACAGGACTCCCCCCGGCCCCCCGCCTCCCGCCTCTCCCCAAACACTCACACACATAAAATTGCAGGTTCAGAGCCTGGCTCCGTGTCCCGCGGTCAGCCCGAGTGTCACAGTGTGAGCGCCCGTCTCCTACACGCACCTGGCTGGCCTTCCCCTGCCCAGCTGGGTGCTCTGTGCAAGTGCTGGGTGCGGGGACTCCATCCCCTCCTCCGCCTTTACGCCCGATCCGGACAGTGGTTTCGAACCCTGGCTGCCCATTAGAACCCCCTGGGGACTTTATGGACCCGGACTCTCAAGGCGGCCCCCTGTACCAGTGACTTCAGAATGTCTCCAGGGTGGGACTCGGGCATCGGTGGGTTTTTACAGCTTCTGGGTGATTCTACTGCGTGATCCGGGCTGGGAAGTAGGGGTTGGGAGCACAGACTGCAGCCAGGATCTCCCATCTGTGCCTGGGGCTGATGGGCGGGTTAGAGGGCCGTGCCCTGGGCCCCGTTAGTGCTGTGTGAGCGGCTGCCATGGCTGAGGCACAGACTGGATAGTCAGGGTGGCTGTGATTCGTCAGTCAGGGTCCGGAGCTCCCACTAATCAGGCAGTGATGGGGGCCACACATCCCAGCATGCTTCCTGTCTCAGTGGGTTCCTGGCTCTGAAAAGAGGAGCTGAAGCTGTGCCGGGAGGGAGAGGTGAGGGGGAGGAAGGAGGTGAGAGCTGGAGGTGCAGGCCTAGGACTCCGCCGCCTGCCCTCCTGCTCCGCAGGGTAGAGCTCCCGGGGGCGGGCACCTGGGGACCTCTCCATCTCCAGTGTCCTGCTCTTTAAGGGGGATCTGGTCCCTGTCTCGCCGGTTGCTGTGAGCCGAAGTTGGGGCCGTGCCCCGAGGCTCCCTCTGGCTCCGCTGTCGCCTCGGCTGAGAGGCAGGTCGTGCCGGGCCAGGCAGCGTGCACGCTCCCTCCTCACCAGGAGGCAGCACGAACAGGGGCGAGCGACTTTCCTGAAAAAGAACCGGAAAGCGAGGAGAGCGGGTTCACGGCTGTCCCCAGGATGATGTCACCCGGCACCACTTACATCCCAGTTCGCCTCCCTAAGCGGGGAGAGCCGGCGGCCCGGCCAGGCACCCGGGGCCACGGGGACTTACGCACAGCCTGGCTTTGGCCACAACAGCGGCTGCTGTGAGCGTCATCCGGCCCTGCTGGCAGCGGGGGCTGTCCCGGCGGTGACGGTGGTGGTGATGGTGGTGGTGTCGGTGCTACTTCCCTGGTGCCCAGGCCGCCGTCCCCTCTCGGACTTGGCCATGGTAGAGTGCAGGCCACAACCCAGGCCCTGCACCCCAGCAGGCTCTCCCTGCAGTAGCCAGCCACCGTCCAGCGGCGGGAGGGATGGTCCTGCAGCCTCCGGTGCTCCTGGGCAGGGCTTCCCGGGGTGGGGTCCAAGGGCTCAGACCAGGGGAGCCGGCGGGGGGCAAAGAAGGGGCTGTTTTTTCTCAATTCCTGAGACTGGTTTCTAACTGGTGCCCCAGGAAGCTGCTCTGGAGGCATTAGGCCGCTGCCAGCTGGGGCGCTCAGGGCATGGGGCGGAGCTGTTTCGACTTCGAGCACGGGGGCGGCCATTCTGACGTCTCAGACTCAGTTCTGACGTCTCAGACTCGGTTCTAGGTCCAGTCGTGGTGCTAGCTGTCTGGGACGCATTGGGCAGGTGGCCTCAGCTTTTGCATCTGCAGAATGGGAATAACCCAGCAGAGAACATGTCCGTGGATCGCAGGCCCCAAGGAAGCAGCGACCTCCGATGGGGTCAGTGGTGCTCTGGGGTGATCTCTGAATGTCCCCTGCGGACTTCAGCCAGGGGTGGGGGCGTTGGGCACCAGAGGCCCAACCTCATGCTCTGGCTCTGCCCTGTGCTCCCAGCCCAGGTCACCGCTTTCCCCTAACGTGGCCTCGGTTTCCCTGTCTGCACACCGAGGGGCTGGCCGGTCACTCTCAGGTCTGCGTGTGTGTGTGTCACCCTCCACCCTCCTGGGACACACACCCAGTCCGCTCCCAGCCGCCCAGGCTGCCATTGCTCCCAGAACAGGGGGGCCTCCACCGCCCCGGCTGCCCGGCTGCTCCCGCAGGTGGAACACGGGCCACGCCTCAGCCCCGGCTCTGAGCCCGACACGCACTCCCACGGAGGGACTGCGGTGTTCCCTGAGACCCGGCATGGCGAAAGCACGGGGGCGGCCATTCCGACGTCTCAGACTCGGTTCTAGGTCCAGTCGTGGTGCTAGCTGTCTGGGACGCATTGGGCAGGTGGCCTCAGCTTTTGCATCTGCAGAGTGGGAATAACCCAGCAGAGAACGTTTGTGAGACTTGGATGGGACCCGGCATGCCGGGCAGTGGGGCAGGGAGGCCGGGATGAGTCGCCGGGCCTCTGTGGTGGGCTGGGCGCCAGACGTGGACGGAGGGCAGGAATGGATTCCCCCTCGGCTACAGAGCAGCAGGAGCCCGCAGGGTGAGGGCGCGCTGGGCTGGGGTTGGAGGCCTGCATTGGGTGGGTTGCCACGGGCCACCCCCAGGAGAAGCAGGCCTGGTTTCTGGCCGGGCCCAGGCCCCCCACACCCCGCCTGGCTCACATGCGGACTGGGGGAGCCCCGAGATGACCCCCCACGGCCGCGGCCAGGCCCCCGTCCCAGCAGCGGGGCCCATTAGGACTGAACTCTCTGGCGGGGGCATCTCATTTGCACACTCCGGTGGAGTGGACACCAAAGGGGCTTTCTCATACTTCACGGGCTGCTAATTTCCCCCGTGACCCCTTTAGTCGGGGCCTGACCCCAGCCAGAGGCTCCACGCCCTGGAAGCCAGCGCCTGACACAGACCCTGGGCGCGGTCACAATGCGGCCTCTGTGGGCTTTAATCAGGCCCCTCTGGCGTCTGAGAGCGGGGTCGGGGAGGGTGGGGGGTGGGGGGTGGAGGGGGTGGGGAGTGGTTATTGTGTGGCCCGCAGAAGCCCTGGGTGGTGCTAAGTGGGAGCCGCCAGTGTCCCTCCCAGAGGCGGGGGGGAGGGGGGGAGAGGAAGGGAGGGGGGGCTGCAGGCTGAAGGACTCCTCAGGCTGTGTGTGGGGGGGGGGGGCGAGAGGGGGAAGGGAGCCTTTGTCCCAAGCGCCTCTTTAGAGGCCAGGCCGGCCTGGCCCAGGGGTGTCACATGCCTCTGGGTATCTAGGGGGGTGCCCTCCTCCCCCACTCACCCGAGGCCCGGTCAGCACCAGCTAATTAGGTTCTGTCTGTGCTCTCCCTCCCTGCAGACTGCGATTCCTACTGCAAGGCCTCCAAGGGGAAGCTGAAGATCAACATGAAGAAGTACTGCAAGAAGGACTATGGTGAGTGAGGGGTGGGCAGGGGTGGGGCCAGCGAGGAGCGGGGTCGGGTGCCGGGGGGGCCCCCGAGGGAGTGTGGGTGCTGCAGTCTCTGTGACCGAGCGAGAGGCAGCCGAGCTGGACAGACCCCATGCCCAGGACCTCTCGTCTCCTCCCCCTTGGTCCTTGGCGGTGAGGGGCACGAGGCCCACAGGGCGTGAGGACTGCGTTGCGCAGCCCTGAGGGCGGCACCCTGGCCAGCGGGGGATGGGGGTGGGGGAGGGCAGGCTCAGACTGAGGCCTGAGTCTGCTGCTCAGAGGGAGGAGGTCCGTGGGACGTTTGAGATGCCACTTCCTGACGCCTCCTCCTCAGGAGTTGACCCCAGAAGACACAGCTGGGGCTGGGCAGGGGAAATGCAGTATCACTCTGATCCACGGCCCACGGGAGCCACGGGGCTGCCAGCCTGGGCGCCGCCTGCAGATCCCGTCACCTGAGCCCTCAGGCTCTCTAAGCTGGGAAGGGTCTCCTGCCCCCTCCTCCCATTACACACTGTTCTCCCCCTCCCCCCTCGGGACAGTGCCCCCCGCCCCCTTCCCCCTGGAGCTCCCTGTCTGCCTCCTTAAGCATCTGCTGAGTCCTGTGTCCCCACCCAGTGGGAGGTGAGGCATCGGCCTAGTGATTCTGAGAGTGTTCTCACTGGCCAGACACCGTGTGACACCGGCACAGCCTGCAGGGAGGCCACAGGTTGTGTGCAAAGAGCAGAGGGAAAGCAAAGGGGAATCCGGGAGAGTCATCCAGCCGTTGCTGCTGGCAGGGCAGGAAACCCCTTGTAGACTGAGCGTCCTCCTGGGCAGCCGAGGGCCTGGCCCCCCACCCCAGGAAGTAGTAGCACAGCCTAGAGGCAGCCCGGGGGCTGTGAGCCCAGGCCTGGCACCTTCCCGGGCCTCCTCCTGACCTGGGGGCTGGGGGCCGAGCCCAGGCTGTCCTTACAGGCCCTGTGCCTCTCACCATGCCTCCCCTGCTCCCCCCACCTCAGCTCCCGCCCCCCTCCCCCCCACCTCTCGGCGAGGACAGGGGCAGGAAGGGGAGGACTGGGTGGCCACGTGGGGCAGGGTGTTTCCATGTTCGCTTGAAGCGCTCCAAAGTAGATGCTGGGGAGGGGCTGGGACGAGAGAGCTGAGCAGGCTCCCTCCTGGTTCTGTTTTTTGAGTGAAAAGGGAAAAATTGGATTTTTGTTTAAAAGTTACCAAAACGGAACCCGTTACCACCTGGTTCTGTTGGACTCGGTCCTGTTTTGTTCTCTTCTGACTCTTCATTCTCGATGGAAGTCTACCTTCACGCCCACCATTCCCGGGGGCACGGCCCCTCCGAGCTCTCCGGGCCTCCTCGCCCACAGCTGGCAGCCCCTCTCTCTGCCCAAGGCGCCCCGTACCCTCTCGTCATAGGCCCGGAGGGTCCCCGGCCGGCCTGCGCCCTCTCCCCGCTGGGGCCTCCCTGGGGCCCGGGCCCTGTCCTGCTGGGACAGGTGGGCACAGCCTCTGGCTTGTACTTGACCTCTGCTCCCTGACTCAGCTCTTATTTTCCCCTCACACCTGGCTCCCAGGGATGATCAGGACGAAGCAGGGTCCAGGGTCCAGGGTCCTAGGTGGGACCTGGCCAGCTGGACACTGACCGGCCAGTGGCGGCCCAGCCTCTGCTCCTCCCACATGTCCTTCCCTGGATCCCCCTCTCCTCCCCACATCACATTGAGCCCCAGGTCCCCATGCTCACTTTCCCAGACTTCATTGAGACCCCCTCTTCCCCTCCGCCCCCGCCCCGTCCCCCACACCCACTGCCAGGCGGGCGTAAGGAGCAGCACACGCAGGAGCTGTTCACTGCTTTAATGCCTCCTGCCCACGCCCTTGGCCTCTTACCCCAAGGCCCTCCATTCTCCCAAAACATTGGGGGGGTTCTGGCCCCCAGGATTGTCCCTGATACTCTTGGGGTCCCCCACTCAGCTCAGCATTGAGGTCTGTGTGTGGAGAGGCGGGACAGAGAAGGACCAGGAAGGAGGTGCGGGGTTTGGGGACGGCTTACAAGAGTCCGCAGGAGAGAGGGCGGTTCGGTGAGGAAGGTGTGGGTGGCCACTGTTGGGTCCGAGCTGGGCCCACAGGCACAGCAGCGGGCAGCCTCCCCCACCCCCGGCAGCTGCAGGCCTGGCTCTGAGGCTGGGGCGGATCCTGTTGGGACCCTGGACCCTGAAAGGCGTGTGAATAGGGGTATCCCTCCCAGGAGCAGACCTGGGCCTGCCCGGGATAGATGAGCAGGGAGAGGATGAGGGGGTGCTGGCCTGGGGGTGGGTGAGGAGGTGAGGCCAGAGCAGGCTGGGCAGGGAGGCCAGGGCGGCGGGGTCGGGGGTCCGAGAGGCTGTCCAGTGTCTGCCCTCTGACGGGCACCCCGGGGCGGGGGAGCCAGTGAGGGAGCACGGTTCCTTCACCTACAGATGGGGCCCTGGGGTGTTCCAGGAGCTGCTGATTAGAACCTTGGACCTGCCTCCCCACCCCCCTCCCCCCTCCCCTGCCCCCCTCGCCCCCTGGGAGAAGAGCGGCCCCTCGGAGGCCAGCTCAGTGCTGTGTTGGCTGGTGCAGAACCAGGGTCCGCTGGCCTGGACAGTGGTCAGTGGGTGCGAGGCCGGGAAGCGGGCAGTGAGGCTGGTGGGGTGTGCAGGTCCCACCCTGTGTTCTCTTGGGCATGTTTGCCCATAAGAGAGCTCGGCCTGGGTCGGACTGGGGTGGGCACCTAGCAAGGCAGGAGGGCATTGGGGTGGGGAGGACTCAGGTCCAAGCCCCTCCGTGCTTCTGCCATTCCCCCAGAGACACCGCGGGGCGGGGTGGGGCGGGGCGGGGCGGGGCGGTGGCCGGCCCATTTCCTCTGTAGGGGTGTCGAACTCAATCAGAGAAGGGGCCAAAATCTAAAATCCAGCCTAAATCGCGGGCCGAATGGTTTACTGAACAGTCATAAACTGTCATTGTGATGGAAACGCAGCGGAGTGCAGTGATGACAGCGCGGTGCGGGCCACATTGCAAGGCCTGGCGGGACGGATTTGGCCTCGGGCCTTGTGTTTGACACATGTGCTCTACAGGGAAAGGGCGCGGGCCCCATCCTGGCACACAGGTTTAGGGTGCTCTGTGACCCGGCCTCAGTGTCCTCCTCTGTCAGATGGAGACATGCCCCGGGCACTGACATCCTCTAGCTGAGCTGCCCTGGCCCTGCCCCGCCCCGTGCCCGCTCCCGGGCAGGTCCAGGGTGACACGGTCCCTGCAGCCCCTCTCCTGGCCGCCTCAGTCCTCTGATGCCCTCTAGGGGACCCGGCTCACCTTGCACAGGCTTGACGGCGCCCGCGAGGAAGCCGGTTATTCACGGAAGACAGTTTTATTATTTTCAAGTGTCTCAGCCGTTCCTGGCAGCTTTGCAGGAAGCCCAGCCTGGGAGGCCTGTCCTTGATGCAACATTGCCGCGAGTGTGTGTGTGACTGTGTGTGTGTGTGTGTGTGTGTGTGTGTGTCCGCGTCCGCCACAGAGTCTGCGCCCTGCGCCCCTGCGGGGGGCGCCGCTCCGTGGCACGTGTCTTGCCAGCCAGTGGAGCTGGCGGTGAGAGTGCTGGGTGCACCTTGTTCCCGAGCATCTGTGGTGCAAGGATGCTGGCCAGGCCTGACCACGGGCTGGGCACCTCAGCCGGCATGGGGAACCCCCCTTTGTGCCCCCAGCTGGCATGGCATGGAAGGGGCTGTGAGCGCCCTCACCCCATCCTGTGGGCCCGGTCCCTCCGGACTCCTCCCAGGCCTGCCCCTCAGCCTCCCTTTCTCTGTCCCTTCCGGCCTCTACCCCACCTGTCCCTGTGCTCCCTGGGGGAGCCCGTGTGGTCCTCTCACCTCACAGAGCCACTCTGCACAGGCGCTCCCACACACACACACACACACACACACACACACACACACGCGCGCGCACACAAGCACATGCACACATACACACATGCACGCACACACAAGCGCATGCACACATACACACATGCACACACAGGCACAGCAGTGCATAACCAAAGGAGCCCTGCTCCCTCACACAGCCATCCCCACCCCCAGGCCTTCCCTCCTTTGTGAGAGAGAGAGGGCCCACCTTGGGAGTTGGGTGGGCACCGAGCAAGGGGTTTGGGGTGTGCCCCTAAACTCCACTGAGTGCCAGTGTGCCCCATCCTGCTCTGGGCGCCGAGCTTACAGATGTGGAGGAGACGGGCCTGGTCCCCAAGGAGCTTCCCCGTCCAGGAGGGGCGCAGACATGCAGAGGAGAACGTAGAAGGTGGAAGGGGTGGGGAGGGCAGCCTGAGGTGGGCACCTGCAGTGACCCCGTCCTCTGAGCAGGGTGGGAGGGGGCCTCCCGGGGAGGGCCAGGGAGAGTAGTGTGGACGTCAGCAGGCATAGCCACATCCGTGCCCAGAGCCCTCTGCCACCCCCAACACCCGCCCCCAGAGCCAGTCCAGCTCCCGCCCACTCCCCACACCGCTGCCTCGTCCTTCCCCCCGAGGTTCCGACGGAGGGAGACAGACAGCTCGCTCTGAAAGGTGAGGTCATCTCCCTTTTGCCAGTTCTTGGAAAAATTATCCGTTCCCAGAAATGTTTATTAGTCACCCCTTTTGTTGAAAGACGTCTTGGCACCGCCAGATGGAAAAGTCAGAATGCTTCACCAGCGGGTCTGTCTGCTCCTCCAGAGCCGGGGGCGCTGCCGGGGCCCGCTCGGAGGGAGGTCTGTGGCCCCTGGGGGGGACGCGGCTCGTTCGGCGGTGCGAGGGCCCATGAGCTTCGGGGGCCCCTGGCCGAGGTGGGCCTGGGGACCGGGCAGAACCTCCGTTTGCAGCAACGCACCCCGTGTGCCCCGGTACCTCCCGGGCAGTGGAAACCCGAGGGAAGAGCCTGCCAGGCTGGCGCCTGGGCCGGGCACCTCGCCGCCTGTGTCCTTATCCTGTGGCCCCCTCCGGGCTCCGGGAGGCAGGG